TCCAGTGAAATATATTTATGTTTGTGGTTGTAATGTGACAAAATATGGAAAAGTTCAAGGGGTATGAATACTTTTGCAAACCACTGTATATCCAATAGACCATTTTGTAGAGTACTAGCAGAGCCTTGCTCTTCCAGGTCACAGGTCAGCTGGTAAAAAAACACTGAGGTTGCTATGAAAAAGCCACTGGAATTGTGCAAACTCAACAAACTCAAAAAAGCATTATAGCTATGAAAAATCTCATCTACAGGGGTTAGACAATGAAACTGAAACACCTGGTTTTAGACCATAACATCCCTTTCAGACAGCTTCCTCTTGTGTCCACAGTTAATCCTGTTGGATGTGGTTCATCCTTCTTGGTGGTATGCTGACATTACCCTTGATACCGTGGCTCTTGATACATCACAAAGACTTGCTGTCTTGGTCACAGATGCACCAGCAAGACGTGCACCAACAATTTGTCCTCTTTTGAACTCTGGTATTTCACCCATAATGTTGTGTGCATTGCAATATTTTGAGCAAAACTGTGCTCTTACTAGGGCTGTGTATTGGGAAGAATTTGGCGATACGATACATATCATGACAGAGGGGTCACGATACGATATATCCCAATATATTGCGATACTGTAAGCAAGGCGATATATTGTGATATATTGCGATTTTTTTTGGTCCAAAAATTCTGTTAAATAAAAACCTCAACTGGAAAAAAAATGAAAAACCAAAATTCATTGTCTCAGAAAATTCTATTACATAGACATGCGCTAGCTTTCTGTAACGTAAAGGTTGACTAAAGTTGGAAAAAAGAGCGCACGAGACACTTAATTTGGTTTAAAATATAGACATTTTGACAAATAAGTAACTGTTCGTAACCTTCCCTCAGCTTAGAAGGCAGAGGGTGTCGGTCTTTTCCACTCAGATTCAGCTATTAGAGCATGAAGCTAATGTTTACTCACAATGCTAATGCCACCCTTACTCTCTGGCACTCAAGAGGTAGAGGAGCCAAATGGCTGGCTCACTGCTGCTGACTAGTGGTCAGAGGATGAACTACAACATAAAAATGAACGGCTGGCAGGAAAGTTGACATTTTAAACCTTAATTAAAAATCGATACAGGGCTTTAGAATATCGATACAGTATCGGGAAATGAAATATCGCGATATTTCAGTGTATCGATATTTTCTTACACCCCTAGCTCTTACCCTGCTAATTGACCCTTCACACTCTGTTCTTACTGGTGCAATGTGCAATTAATGAAGATTGGCCACCAGGCTGGTCCAATTTAGTCATGAAACCTCCCACACTAAAATTACAGGCGTTTCATTGTCTAACTCCTGTAAGCTCTTAAACAAAAGTTTACACAAACCAGTTTAGAGCAAATACATCTGGTCTATAAAACAACATAAATTTACTGGTTGAATTTCTTTAATTCCAATGGCGTTTCCAAAGCAAACATTTTTTAAAAAGTGTAAGCTCAGAGTGTATTGCGTGTGCACATTTATAACCATTTTTACCTATGAAATGGTCTATTATTGTTTACTGAGAGTTTCCTTAAAACCCACTTAGTTCATGAGATATTTCACTAACAGGACAAGGTTGAGAGAAATATATAATGGTTAGATTTTAAAAACAAACCCCACACAATCAGTTAGCAAACACAGCATGTGTTTAAGATCAGGCTCAGCTACTACCACACCAAGTATTAGCTCAATATCCGTAAAACTGGCTGAGTTGCAGCCATTTATGTGTTGGCTAAGGCCACTTAGCTGTGGCAGCCATCTTGAATTGGGGTGGTTTCCCCAAAATTTCACAAATTGCATGTGTACATTCAATAAAGTCGCCAACACTGCAGATAAAACAACACACAGAGACATGACTGCTGCTTGGCCTAATAGAGGCAGCACAATGGATTACTGGGTTAGCACTGCTGCCTCACAGCTAAAAAGGTCCTGGGTTCAATTCCTGGTTCTGATTTGTGGTGTTTCTGTGTGAAGTTTGCATGTTCGCTTTGTGTTTGTGTGAGTTTTCTCACGGTTTTCTCCGGCAGACCAGAAACATGCATGTTTAGGCTGCCTTCTGGTCCTAAAAGAGATTTGAGTTCTCAATGGGATTTGCCTGGTTAAAAAAAAAAAAGGTCGATAAATATCAAGAACCCAACCAAAAAGATGTTTCAATGTCTTTCAGGACTCTAATGTGACATGAAAAGGGATGTGAAACATTCAAAAACTGACACAATGGCTGCAATTATTTGCATAAGAACTAGACTTAAAAGCAAACAAGAAAGAATAAGTAGTCATGAAGAAAAAGTCACATGACGTGTTTAAAAACAAACAAACCAGAAAGTTGCACAAAAAAAAAAAAAAAAAGATGAAAACGGATCAATTGGCATCTGCACAGTTTGGGTCCTCGGTAGGACTAAGACACCCAAACACATCTGTGCCCGGAAGCCTGCTGATTCAGAACGGGCCCATGGGTCCACCCTTTGGGCTGCAGTTCACTGAGGTGGCAGGGTACCTCTGTGCAGGAGCAGATGGTTCTCCTGCTTGAGCCCAACACTTCCTCCCTGTCAGAGCATCTCTCTGACAGATGGGCCCAGGATCCTGGACCAAGCTAATCTCCAGCACTCCTCCACTTAAAGGCACAGTGGAGCTCCAGCTCTACCTCCACACAGATCCATAAGAACACATCAATACACCCTGGCTCACTGATGCTGTCACGTACAACTGAACTCAATGTACATTTGAGAAAATACAGGAAAACTGGGTATTTTTATTAGAAAATAAGAGGTTAAGTGTGCTTAACACAACACTATGCCTTGGTGAAATAGAACAAAGAAAAAAATGAGGTAAAGGATGAGTAATTGCTTTAAATTGTGTGCTAAAAAAATATATGTTGCCTTTGCTGTTGGACCACAGAGTGACAGCCAGCTTTCAGCAGCAGATTCTAATTTGCTGTCACTTTTGTTGAATTAGGCTTGCAAATACTAAACACCTCCTCCCTTCCTTTCTTTCTGTCTGTCTTGCCTGCTTTACCAGGTCCTGACCACGTCTGCGCTCGGAGGAGCCAAAGTTGACAATGTCGACAATTCACAGCAACTATAARCGACTTTCGGAATGCCAGACGATGATTCCGCTGCCGCCGAGCCCCCCGACCGAGCTCGAAGGAAATCGGCTTTTTAATCGTTCGTTCGCGGCGCACAGTCAGGCAACGTTGTCGGCAGTTTTCAAATAAATGTACAGCCCCGGGAGAGACGACATTCTGTTGGGTAGCACGCAGAGCCGTGTGCCGGAGAAGCCCCTTTAGTCCGGCGAAAATGTCAAGCAGCCTTTCGCTCGAGTTTAACACTAAATGTTGGAATAAAAGAACAGTGGAAGGCTACTTTTGCCGAGAAAAGAAGTACAGAAAATGAATTTGGACAGCTTCGCCTGCCATATGCACACGGCTGGGAATGACACGCGCGAACAACCAGCTCCATCGGTCGAGTTGGCACCAAAGTAATTACTCACAGTTTAACAAATGTCAAAATTACTTACGCTTTTAGTGGATTCTGAATGACAGCCGCCATTTTGCTACAATGTAACGCAATATCGGCGTCTTGCAGTTCTGAGGGAAACCTACAGTAATTGACCAATCAGAACCCGAGGCGAATTCGTGGACCAATAGACGTTCAGCATGAGCGGATGGGGCGTGGCCTAATGTGGTAAACTGTCAAAATTATTTTAAAGGGTTTTCCCTTGTATTCATATTGTACACAACTGAATTACAGCACTTTTTCTTAAAGAGACCTTCACTACGCTGAATAGTTGTGAGATTYTGATGTAAACAAAACTTGTCAGCATATTATTATGGCATATGCTATCAAAATGAAAGTATTTTTTATTCAATAAAATAATTAACAATTTAGCACAATCACTAACAATACAATTATTTTCTCTTCACATTACCTGAAGCTGCAGTGTTTGATAGTAATGCAAGCAAGACTCATAACACGTAGAAGTGCCCACGATCAATTCCTCCCACATACGGTACTGTACTGCAAAAGGTTTGACAGAGAAATTTAAAACACACACACACACACACACACACACACACACACAC